TATGTGTGCTTTGCTTTTGATGTGTTTAAGACTTTTGCGTATTTTTTATAAGTTTGTTTTTCTCGCCATTTAATTATAAGAATTCTTTGTATTTTCAATATACATGTCCTTTGTAAGAAAATTGTGAATATTATCTCTCAGGCCATGGCTTGCTTCTTCATTTTCTAAATGCCTCCTTTTGATGGACAGATGTTTTAAATTTAGATGAAATTTAATTGTATCTATTTAAATTTAGATGAAATTTAATTGTATCTATTTTATTACATTGCTGTTAATATCCGGTCTAATATAAAGCTGCTTACCCTTAGGTTACAGAAGTATTCTTGTATACTTTCTTCTAAAATCTTTAAAGATTTAGAATTTTATTTCAGTCGCTAATTTTTGTATATAGTGTGAGGTAAAGAATTTCTTCTGGCACTTTTGTTGAAAATCAGTTGACCTTATAATGGCTGAGTCTGTTTCTAGACTATATTTTTCATTTATATATTTGCTTATCCTTATTACCAACACCATACTCTTAAATATTTTAGTTTTTATTGAGTCTTAAAGTCAGGTATTGTTAGTCTTCTACCTTTGTTCTTTTTAAAATATAGTTTGGCTCGTCTAGGTTCTTTGTATTTTCATAGAAACTTCAGAATTGCAAAAATTGTGCCCTATATGTGTAATAAGAATTGTAATGCTTTCCACTGCTGTCATGTAGTTAAAAAATAAATAAATAAAAAAGAGAAACTTTAGAATTGCTTTACAAGTTTCCATAGAAAGACCTGGTGAGGTTAGAATTGAGAACTTAATTTGGGGAGAGTGTGTGTCTGCATATGTATGTGTACACATATATTGAGAGGAGGAGGATCAATAGATTCCCAAGGTTTAGTGATCCCTTTACATGGCATATCCATCCATTTATTAAAGTTACCTTTAATGTTATGTATTAATAAAAGAATAAATTTATGACTTTAACATTTAATTATTATCTATTTTTTCCTGTTGGATTGTGAACTCTATATAACAAAGACTGGGTCTTGTGTTCATTATATCCCCAGGGTCTATCACTATGCCTAGCAGATAGTAGGCACTTAAGTGACTATGTGTTGATAATATTTAGCTCTGTAGTTAAGCTTTTAATAAATTTAGAATAGTTAATTGATGTTTTTTGCTGACTTCATAACATTTTTATGAAGTAGGCAACATTTTCTTTTCATGACAGAAATTTAAGCAACATTCCATTAAGTTAAGTCTTGACTCATTTAATGTACTATCTTTCTTTTTTGGGCTCTTACATTAAGAACACGTAATGTGGATCAGAAGGGTCTATTGAGAGCCCTGAAGATTTGGCAAGAAATAATAGTGAGATTATTAACTAAAAAATGGAAAAGTAAGACTTTAAAAATAATGAAATATTGTGATTACCTTTTACCAGAAAATATAGGCAAGAAAAAAATTGAAATTAAATAGCAATTAACATTGAGAAAAAAATAGGTTCTTTACTAAAAGACCCTGCTTTCACTTACAATATTGACTTCTATACAAGGTCAAAGAATGCACAGCTTTTATAAAGATCCATTTAATTTAATGACTTTCAGAAACAAACACTGTGAAAATAAAGATAATAATGTAGCCCATAAAATTTCATGCTTTAGTGTTTAGGTAATTGCTTGTTAAATTAAGGTATTTTTTTCTGGACATGGGTATACCCCTTTCTTTTTTATTAAGATTATAATAAGAAGTTTCCTATAATTTGGCTGAATTCTATTTGGCTGTTCAACAGTTATTCCAAATATTAATTTTAATGGGTTAAATTAATTCATTTAAGGCCCATTGAAGATAATGAAATATTGTGGTATTTGTATAACTATTGTTTTAAGAAATTACTTTGTTTCAAGATTGAACATAAGGAAAAAAGATAGCAAAGATGAAATATGTTGGTGCAATAAGAAAATTTTTGATTTATTGAGCCAAATGATAACAGAATAAATTTATTTTTAATTGATCATTCCAAAAGAATTAAACTATTCAGTTAATACAATGATTTCTCCAGGAATATTCATTTAAAAAATTTTAAGAGTATGCTTCTGAATCACATTCATATTATGTTGAATAATGGAATTTTATAGTAAGATAACAATATGTAGACCTTAATATTATATCCTTGAATTTTAGACTTTGACATGCTGGTTTCCTGGAATAGGGAGGTTAGATAGTCATCATATCAACTCCTTAAAACAAAGCATAACTGAATTATATACTTTATGAAATATAAATTCAAGTAGAATGTTTCACTGAATGACTTCATTGTATTTGAAATAGAATCTCAATGTTTGTTTCTGTGTTGATGAAAGTTTTTTTTTTTTTTTAACACAAAGATGTTTTCCCATCTACTAATGTGGTGGAGAAATCCTATATAGTTAAAATATTAGTTGCTTATGTGAATATTTACAATTATCCTTTAGCACAACTTTTATTTTCCTTTTATTAAGTAGTTGGGTAGCAGGAAGGTCATAATAGGAGAAGCATCACCATGAAATGAATTTAAATTGTTTTACGGAGTAGACTTCATTTGTGCAGACAGAAAGCAAGTCCCTGAAAACCAATTTAATGGTCAGAAAAACTTTAAGGTCTAATACTTCAATCAATTCCTATGCTTTCCTTCCTGGGATGAGCACAAATAGGTTTCTAAATGTGTTTTAAAAAAGGGAGTTGATGCAATGCACGTTGTGGTTCTGGTTAAGAAATATAGAGCATTATTTTTTACAAGTATTTTTTAACTTATTGTGGGTTTATATTTTGGATAAAATAAATGAAATGTGTATTTATATAATTCATCAATCTATTGAAAATATTTTAGTGGACTTAAAGTAGATGTTCATTAAAGTTTAATTTACTTTTTAAAAAGATAGTGTTACTAATAATCATTAATCCTGATATTTTTAGTTCATTGGAGTAGATTTAACTAATTATTGCTATACCTCCTATTATAGGAATAATTATATCATTCTACTATACTAAACACTAGTGGTAATATGATGATGATTATGTGATCATGATTATGATGGTAACATTTATTGAATATTTAGTATACACAAGGCCATAAGCCATTTTACTGAATCATTCAGTTGAATATATGTACAAGTCCATTGTACAGCTATTTTGTAAACACTATTACATAAGTTATATAGCTTCCCAAGGTCACATTGCTATGAAGAATTTTCAATATTGTGTATGGAATTATTATACTGTATGACTCTAATGAAGCAACTGGACCTGTGAGCTGATTATTTATTTGATTTTTAACACCTGTTAATTTTTGAGATAAACTCTCATTCAAGTTGACACTGTAGAGCTAAGTTGTTTTCATATACCTATAAGGATATTCTTTAGAACACTTAAAATATGGGCTTGAAATCTGTGTTCTAGGATCTCATACATCATTCTTAATGCAGAGGTTTAAAACAACAACAACAACAACAGATTCATTGTTTTGTTTTGAAAACAATTTATCTATTCTCTAAACCTTTTCCCCAGGAAAGACCAACCATTTCTTTTTTCCATTCCCTCTTACAATCTCCTGCTCTTTATTTACTGCTCTCTAATTCATGGAGGTGTCAGAGAATGTCTTTCTGGTTTAGTTCATCTTCACTTTTAGGGAGGCTTTATGTGGCCTGAGCCACTTCCTCAGCATTCTTGACTCTTCTGGTCTCCTCAGTATTGTAGCTAAAGTCTTCCTTGTATCTGTAGTTGCTCTTAGTGGTAGTTTTATACCCTGCTTTAGGAGTAGGAGACCTCTACTTACTATGGGGGAATGTGTGGGTTTTTTTATTATTATTATTTTTGTAGTTATAGACATGGATAGCTTGCCTTTATGTTTTTATTTTTTATTTATTTATGGTGCTGGCGATTGAACCCAGGGCCTTGTGCATATGAGGCAAGCACTTTACCAACTGAGCTATATCCCCAGTTCTTATTTGTTTATTTTTGTCTTGCTAAAATCAAACCTAGTCCTCACACCTACTAGGTAAGCGCTCTGCCACTGAGCTACAGCGCTGCAGCCTCAGCCCCAGAGATATGTGTTTTGCCCTTTCCTCAGGGGCCTATGTGTTTTGTGCCTTTTCCCCAGCATCCACTGGTTATTGCCTGCATGACATCACCACATAAAGAAGCTCTCTTTGGTCTCCCTGCCTGCCCCTAACACTCAATGGAGGCCTGCAGGAAAGAGTTTATAAGTGAGTTCAAATTTCCTAGCTATTTCAAATTGCCCTAACCCTCAGATGATATACTTGATACTTTCATCTGATTTTCATCTGATTTCTGGTATTCTTCTCCCTGTTGGCTATAGTTCATATTCATATCTTTTATGGAATTGGCTCACCTATATTTGGGTTTCATGATACTTGGTTGTTTTGTCACTTCAGCTCTCTGATAGGTTCAGAAAAATATTTTAATAAGCTCACCAATTATTTCTAATAATGGATCAACTGGTATATATTTCTTATGAGAATTAACTACAAATTAACAGAAGAAATTTTTTTGTTTTTCAGAATTTATATGTTTTCTTTTCAGAAATAAATATAGTGTATTCTCCTAATCCTCTATGTAGGAGGTTTAGAATTAAATTCCATGGAATTTTTATTTTATTCATAATTATTTTGAATTACTTTTTAAACTTTGTATTTCAAATATGTACACTGAACAAATTCTCTTTAAAAGTAGGTGGAATTTTATTTGAATGTATCTGGCAGCAAACTGTTATTTTTAATTTAGTTAAATGTGAGTGAGTCATATTTTTGAAACTATAAGTTTCATCCTTTCATCCTTTACCCCCTTTCACATTATTACCTCCATACAAAATATGTTGCATGTGATCATTCAGTGAGAATTATAGTGGACTCTTTATGGTTCAATTATCTCTTGAATTTCCCAAGGCTGAATTTGAACTGAAGACTTAACAGTTTTGCAGAAAGGAAGTAGGAATGATTTTTTAAATTATTATTATTAATGTTTTTCAGCAAGGCTAGAGAAGATCTGCTGAAAACTCAGAAAGAACGTGATTTTCATCGAATGCATCACAAGAGAATAGTCCAAGAAAAAAATAAATTAATTAATGACCTCAAAGGGTAAGCTGACCATATTTGTTGGCATATTTATTAAAGTTATTAGTGTTAAGTAGTTTGAATATGACAGAACCTTTTTGATAAAGTTATTCACTCAATATGTACTGAGCATATAATATGTACCAAATACTATGTTATATGTTTAAAACTCAAGAATGAATAAATTTAGGCCTTTGCTGTCAAGGACTCTAGGTCCCTCTGCAGTGTATGATGGTTGTGATGGTTGATACAGTTGTTGCTGAATCAACCAGGAGGGTAGTCATCTCAATGATACTAAAGTGTGAGAGGGATCAGGATATATTTTCAGAGGAACTAAATAGTGAAGTGTAAGTAAGAGTAAATACAATGAGGGAGTGGAGGCAGCAGAGTGCTCTTGGTATATTCTGTGCAAAGGCAACAAGTCATGTAAGAGCATGCCATGCTTACCAAATTGTAAGCATAAAGAGCAAACTGTCGATGTGGCTTTGCAGGATAGGAGGATATCCTAAATGACCTTGAATTTATGATGACACTTTCAGAAATTATTCTGAAGACATTATTTAGATTTACTTTTCCACACAACCTACTTTCCTTTCCATAAGAAACTGAAAATGGACTTTATAGTCTTAAACTTCTCTTTTGCTTGCTCTAGGGCCAGGCTATCTAATAGAACTTTATGTGATGATGTAAGTATCTGTACCTTGAAATACAATTGCCAGCTAAGTCTTTATATTTAAAATATATCATACTTGTTAAACATCCAACTATGTTTAAGGGAAACTCTATTATAATTAATTGCATAAAAATTATCAATTTAGATTCTACCTTTGTTCATATTTTATTACTTCAGGTGAATAAAAAATACATATTACCTTGTGATACATCCATACTTGCTCTATACTCAGATGGCCTTTATTTCTTCATTTAATCATTAGGAATAATGTTTCCATTTTACCATCTGTTGAATCACTAGTGTGCTTTTCCTAAGTGCCTAGAACAAAACTTCAGTTATGCCGTAAGAGTCACATAAAAAAATGAGTCATCAAAGTTAGTTACTTGGCTAAATTAGAATTTGAATTCTTTGTGTCATATTTTACCTGAATATTTCAATTGTATATCCATATTTCCTTTCATTTTCAATCATTAAAAGTGGAACTTTTTTTGGTAAATTGTTCATCTAATTTGATAATAACTTTTACAGTATTTCCCATTTAACATGAATTTTTAAAAAATTCTTTTAGTTATACATGGCAGTAGAGTCAATTTTGACATATTTATAAAAACATGGAATATATCTTATTCTAATTAGGATCCTAGTCTTATGGATATACATAATGTGGAGATAACACTGTGGTGTATTCATATATGTACATAGGAAATTATGTCAGATTCATTCCACTGTGTGTTCTGTTCCTATTCCCCATCCCTTCCCTTCATTCTTCTTTGTGTAATCCACTGAACTTTTATTCTCCCCCAATTTCTTGTTTTGTGTTAGCATCCACGTATCAGAGAGAACATTGAATCTTTGGGTTTTGGGGATTGGCTTGTTTCATTTAGCATGATAGTCACTAAATTCATCCATTTACTGGCAGATGTCATAAAGTCATTTTACTTTATGGCTTTATAGTATAGTAATATTCCACTATGTAGATATACCACATTTTCTTTATCCTGTCAACTGTGGAAGGGCACTGAAGTTGGTTTACTATCGTCAATTGAACTGTGATTAACATTGATATAGCCATGTCACTGTAGTATGCTAATTTTTAACTCTTTTGGGTTTATACTGAGAAGTGGTACAACTGGGTCAAATGGTGGTTCCATTCCATATTTTTTTAGGAATCTTCATATTGCTTTCCAGAGTGGTGGCTTAAATTTGCAGTCCTACCAGCAAAGTATGAGTGTACCTTTTCCCCCACATCCTTGCCAACATTTATTGTTGCTTATATACTTGATAACTGCCATTCTGACTGGAGTGAGGTAATACCAGACCTTAGATTATACTACAGAATCATAGTAACAAAACCAGCATTGTATTGTAACCAAAACAAGCATGAAGACCAGTGTAACAGAATAGAAGACACAGAGATAAGCCCACATAAATACAGTTATCTCATACTAGACAAAGGCACCAAAAACATACACTGGTGAAAACATATTCTTTTCAAAAATGGTGCTTGGAAAACTGGAAATCCATATGTAGCAGAATGAAATTTAACCCCTATTAAACTGCACAAAACACAAAATGGATCAAAGACCTAGGCATTATACCAGAAATGCTCCATCTACTATAAGACTCCTAAAGCTCAAGAAGTAAAATCAAAAATTAATAAATTGGATGATATAAAACTAAAAAGCTTTTTCACAGCAAAGGAAAGAAGAGGGTGAGAAGAGAGCCTATAGAATGGGAGAAAATCTTTGCCACCTATACCTTAGATAAGGCATTTATTTCTAGGATATAAAAAGAACTCAAAGCCTAACACCAAAAACCAACTAACCAACCAGCCAACCAAACAGAAACCCCCAAGCTAATCGATATATGGCCAAAGGGCTAAACAGACACTTCTCAAAAGAAGAAATATACACGTTCAATAAATACATGAAAATGTTCAACATCTCTAGCAATTTGAGAAATTCAAAATTCAAAATAAAACTACACTGAGATTTTATATGAATGTCTTATGATGTATGTATTTTGAGAATTATCATTATCAAATACAGAAATTGTAAACTAATTATGAAGTTCTATGGAACTTATAGAACAGACATACTAATTGGACAGTTTCTCTGAATGTTGTTTGCATGTTATATGACAGTAGTGTTTTGTGTTGCTAATTTCTGAACAAAGTTTAGTCAAGGCCACATTTCATAAATGAGTTAGATGTCTGTTTGAGTCAGCTTTGCATTGCTGTGACTAAAAGGCCTGATAAGAACAAGTTAGAGTAGGAAAAGTGATTTTGGCTCATGGTTTAAAGGTTTAGTCTGGTTGGCCAATCCTAGAGCTCTGGACCTGAGGAGAATCAGAATATCATGGCAGAAGGGTGAGGTAGAGAAAAGCAACTCAGAACATGGCAATCAGGAAACAGAACTCTGCTCACCAGGCACTAAATATAAACCCCAAAAGCACACCCCAGTCACCTACTTCTTCTAGCCACACCCTACCTGCCAATAGTTATACCTGCCTAGTAAATCCATATAAGTGAATTAATCAATCCACTGATTAAGTTAAAACTGTCATAACTTAATCATTTCACCTCTGAATAATCTTGCATTGTCTCACTTGTGAGTTTTGGGGGAACATCTTATATATAGACTAAAACAATGCCAGAGTTAAATAAGGGGAGAGTTTGTCTTCAATATTTCTCACAAAGTATTTCTTTAACTGTCCATAAATTATAACATACCTTGTTTTGGTATACAATTTTGTACTTGAATATGTGTTTATAAATGTATATTGTTTTGGAGGTATATAATAAAGTACATATATGCTAAGCACATAAACACAAATGGAAAATGGAATTGTACATACTACATAAATTTTTTATTTTTGTTTCTCTCTTTTATGAGTATGGTTGATTTAGCACACATTAAATGTGTAATAACTACTTCAATATTTAAGTTGTATTGCTATCACAAATGAAGTATGATTTGGAAATCAATGAGTTTTATAAATAATTTAATGAAAATTGTATTGAATAAAATGAAGGCTACCATTTTAATATTTCAATAGAAAAAATAATGATACCCAATATGCTTTGGGTCATATCAGAATAATTACTATAGAACTAACCTTCTAAATGGTCCTAGAGTACAAAACTCGACAAAATATAGGAGTCAGTTGTTTTTAAGATATTAGAAAATCAGCAAAGCAGTACTTGTGATGTCTAAGAAAAGGGAAACACATGAACTGAGCAGTGTGATCATCCCAATTTCTTCCTGAATGCATTTTGTAGACCACAGTATGAGAAGATAGAATACAAGCAGACACAGTGATCATTGCTGAGCTGAAGAAGCAGAGATCATAGTTCTTGATGGAAGAGGGAGCTGAAATTTTCAGACAATTATACACAAAAGGAAAGGTGTACATGAAAAGGAACTCAGGAAATATCTGTTATGGCTCTCTTTAGTTTTTGGCCAAAACACTAACTTGTAGAAATACAAGTGAAGAGAATCTGAAACCTGGCAGATCAGCTCTGGGGAAGCTGTGAACAAAGTAGAGATTTCAGAGGCTGGACAGTGCTGGAAGATGCAATAGATGCAAGAGTTCTGAACAGTTATAACAGATCCTTAATAAATATTCAGAATATTCAGTAAGACCTGTAATAAGCCATGCCATAGAAATAGGTTTAGATCGGTCCTACAAAAGGCAGTATTTTAGCCTTGCCCTAAGAAAATTTTAAAAGTAATGTGACAAGCTCTGAAAGGCTCAAGCTCAATCCTTAGAGAGTTTTTCAGGCAGATAAAGTTAATTTGCTTGAATTTTGTCATCTTTTAGAGAGTTTTTCAGGCAGATAAAGTTAATTTGTCTAAAAGATGACAAAATTCAAACAAGTATGTGTGTGTGCAACATAGAGTGAATAAATAGATAAATATATACCAGTGTATCTCTGTATAGAAAAATAGAAGCAGAAAATCATGTACTCTCAACAGTAAGAATTATTACCAGAACCAGAGAGGACAGAAACAATAAAATTATCAGATAAGGACTTTAAAACAGCTGTTATGATATGCTTAGGGTTTTAAAGTAAATGATTATAATGTGTAAAGAGATGGGAAATTTCAACAGTGACATAAAACTATAAATGAAGAGCCAAGTGGAAATTCTAGAACTGAAGGGCATAATATTAGCTATGAACAATTCATAAATAGTTTGTATTGGCAGATTGGACATTGTCAACAAAATGATGAGAGAACATAAAAACAGGAAAATAGAAAATAATGAAGCTGAAGCATAAAGGAAAAAAGCTATATAGTAATTATCAAAGCATCAAAAAGAAGAAACTGAGAAAATAACCTGTGGGTCATTATCAAGTGGTCCATGATGTTTGTATTTGGAATCCTAGAAGAGGAGTTGGACTTTCTGATTCTACTGCTAACTTACTTCAGTTGCCAAGAATGAGTTCAAATTATTCACTCAGGAATGTTTAAATTGACCACTTGATGGATATTTGGACTAAATAAGCTAACTGTGAGCCATCCTTTAGCCAGGACTCCACTTAGTATCTTGTTTCTGTTGACTTCCATTCTAATAGAGGGATCATAATGTTCACTTTGGGTTTCTGGATATCAACAGAAACTTCCAACAGGTATAATCACTGAAGTAAATAGCCATAGACAATTTTGCAGAAGAACTGAGGCTATTATAAGGTGGAAAATTTCTTGAATGTTATGGAGTCCTTCTATACTGGCTACCAGGGCAGCTCAGGCATTTTACTTTGATGAGTGTTGGCACCCACTTCTTGAAATTCCTAAGGTGTGTCCTAGCAAGTTAATTTATCCCATTCCCTGGAGTTCTTACTATGTGGTTAAGTCAGTTTTCTAAAGAAAATGTTTCACAGTAAATGAATTATTGTTTGTCCAATCTTACATTCTAACCCTTTTTTCAAGTACCTCAAACCATTGTGAGTGTTCTGGTCCCTGTCAGTGTATGCTGACTAATTCTTGTAACATTTTAGATACAGAGTCTCTATCTTCTCTTGTCACAGTATCAGCTTGGCATTCAGGAGAGAAGGTAGGGTCACTTCCAGAGGGGTATCTATTAACCATGGGGAAGAGAGAAGCCTCTGTAGCATCTTGTACCACAGGTGAAGCATTCAGTTCATCCAGGAAAGGGGTGGGGGATACCTCTGTGAACCTGTAGTGGCTGGAGAAAGGGACTAGAGAGTTAACATACTCTGGGAATCAATCCTGAGAACTAGGGAAAAAAATGGGGACATTTTATTTTAAATGGGTCCATTCATCAGGAAAATATATTAAATATTCATGAATCTAATACATGGAGCAAAATCTGATACAATTGTAAAAAAAAAGTTATTTCTACATTTATAATTGGAGATTTTTAAGACTCTTTATAATTATTAGAAAATATAGACAAATTCTCTAAGTTTATAGAGTAGCATCATCAATCAATTAAACATAATTAATATTTCTAGAATTCTGTTTTGAACTTTTCAGGTGTACATGGAATATTTACCAAAATATATATTGAGCAATAAATGAAGTCTCTTTAAATTTCAAAGGATTGAATTGCACAAAGAATATTTTCTGACAAAAACCAAATTAAATTAGAAATCAACAACAAAATGGTATCTAGTAGTTTCCAAAATATTTAGAAATTAATTAATGCACTTCAAGGAATCCATGAATCCAGGAAGGAAATTAGAAAATAATTTGAACTTCAAATAACCCATGAGTCAAAAAAGGAAATTGGAAAATATTGTGAACTGAGTGTTCAAAAATGCAACAGATAAAAATTTGTGGAATGCAGCAAACGCAGCTTAAACCTGATAGCTTTAAATGGCTGTATTAAAAAGGAGAAGTTTTATAATCAGTTATATAATCTTTTTATGTCTTAAAAGCCTTTAAAAAGAGCAAATTACATAGAAAAAAATGAAATAAAAAATGGCTAAAATCAATAAAGTAGGAAATGGAGAAACTAAGACAAAACTGTAAATAAAATATTGGTTATTTGAAAGTACGTTAAAATTATAAACCACAGATAGGCTGATTATTACAAAACTGTTGGCAAAGATTAGCCAGGACCATCACATATTCCTGTTGGAAGTATAAATTACAACTCAGCAATTCAACTCCTAGGTATTTATCTAAAAGAAATGAAGATCTGTGATCAAAGTGTCTTGCATGACTTGGATAAAAATGTTCAGAGCAGCATTAGTTATGATATCCTAACCTCAGATTTTCATCATCTGAATAATATATCAGAGAATGTAATACAAGGAAGTATACTCACAATAAAAAAGGAATGAAGTATAGGTACTGATATATAAGACAACAAGAAATCTAAAAGACATTATGCTGAGTGAAAGAAGCATTTCCAAAGAGAACATATTCTATGATACCAAATATATAAAGTCCAGAATTTTCTGAGATATTATAAATGTGGACTACATGAGTACACATAGTTCTCAAAACTCTTTGAACACTTGACGATTTGTAAATTTTACCTCATGTACATTATACTTCAATTACAAATATTAATATTTTGTGGTCATTTTCAAATTAGATTTTAATGATTTTGTATCACATGTTCAGTAGTATTAACTTACATATCAAAATACTTTTATACTTAACATTGTCTTGTTTTCAAGACCATCCTTTGTTTTGGTATGAATGATACTTTCTGTTTATTCATCCATTGTTTGTGGCCCTAATTTTGTGAAAATTATTTCCGAATTGATTAAAGGAACTGTAGTTTCTTAAATCTCAAAGAATTGAAGCAATCTGCTGAGTATATACTTAAATACAACAAAAGGTGCTAATAGGAAATAGAAAACTAGTAAAGGCAAATGTGGTATTTTCCTCTCCTCCCTTATCTCACTCCTCACCCCCAGGTTTTTGCATTGAAATGGCATGCTAAATAATACTTACTGTGCTTCTTGGCTCTAGTGTGTTGACCTTTATATAGTTAGTCATTTTTATTTCTCCTTCAAAAAATAAAAGAAAATCAGTTCAGATGTTAGATGCGAATCATTTATTTAATTCTTTTACCCTTTAAGATGCAACAGTCCTTTTATTTTTTATAGGTTGAAATTACATTATGCATCCTATGAACCAACTATAAGGGTGTTACATGAGAAGCACCATGCTTTACTGAAGGAGAAAATGCTGACCTCCTTGGAAAGAGACAGAGCTGTTGGACAGGTAAACAGACAATCAAAGCTACTTTGAAATAAGTTTTAATCATTTTTTATTGGTTGTTCAAAACATTACAAATCTCATGACATATTATCTTCCATACATTTGATTCGAGTGGGTTATGAACTCCCATTTTTTACCCCAAATACAAGTTGCAGAATCACATTGGTTACACATCCACATTTTTACATAATACCATATTAATGTATTATTTTGCTACCTTTCCTATCCCCTACTATCCCCACTCCCCTTCCCTCTCATTTTCCCTCTCTACCCTGTCTGCTGTTGTTTAATTCTCTCCCTTGTTTTTTTTTTCCCCTTTCCCCTCACAAACTCTTATATGTAATTTTGTGTAACAATGAGGGTCTCCTTCCATTTCCATACAGTTTCCCTTCTCTCTCCCTTTTTAAGTACAAGTAGAAACACTGATTTTGATTCTGAGGTAAATTTTAAAATTTTTTCACAAATTTTTATGTAAAAAATTCATTTGGAAATATTAAAAAAGTATTCTATCCATTTTAAAACCCATAATAATTATTATTAAATTAAATATTATTTAATTGTAACAAATTTACAGTAGATTATTAAGTTAGAAGAAATTACTTAGCTATTGTGGCTAGACTAATGGGTTCAAAGGCCACCTTTGACAATTATAAACATTGATCTTAGGCAAGAGACTCCTAGAGCTTAGATTTCATATATATAATATAGACAAAGCCCCATATTTTAAGGTTGTTGTGAAACATGTAAGATAATGAATATAAACTCCCTGTAATTTCCACCAAATGAATATTTGAAACTCCTAGATCCTGATTTGATTTGTTTTTATTTTTTGCTTGATGAATGAAACCCTTTTTAATTTTTCCTGAAGAGTTTTTACACAGGCTTAGGCCTAGGGAAGAGGTGGGAAATTTTTGGCAGAGTAATCAAGGAAAAGAAAACAAAATATTTATAAACCACATATTTATTTTGTATATATGTATATATAAAGTTTACATCAGAATATAAAACTGCAATTGTACTTAACATTGATTTTTTTATTATCTGGAATTTTTGATTTTGCCCGAACTCAGAAAATACAGAAGCTTGTGTGATGATAATACAATTCCTTTAATAATTTTATTGTAAAGGGACGTTTTATTCAAGTTTGTCTTTTGAGTGGAATCTTTAGCTACTAAAATGCAAAACCTCATTTGTTTTGGTGCCCTTTCTGCTTGAATTTTAATCTTCTGTCTCTGAATGTTTAGATTGCATGATAAATAATATTGAATGAAATGAGTTTTATAATTATTTAAATTTTATGGCATTATATTTAAACCCTTAGAATTTAATCTCCTTACTCCTTTTCATCTAACCTGTAGCAAGTACCTGCACTACCACCAAGTTGTTTATTTCTACTTCTGCAACCTGTTCAGCTTTGATTCTGCCATTCCTCTGCTCTGTGCTTAGAGCTGTTGTTTCTGTGGAAGCATTCTTGATTTTCCTGTCTCTGAAATGAGCATGATTCCTGAAGTTACATTAAAGGCCATTTTGAGAGCATATTTAGAGTATAAAACAATTCCTGGGTTTCAGATCATTCCTCACTGGGTTAGTAAAAAAAGTTAAGGATTAGGAGTAGTGAGTTTGAATCTCAGTTTTGGGGTAAAGTGTGAATCTTCAGGTCATTTACATATAGTTTGTTTTCTCACATATTAATCAAAGGTAAATTATTTGCCTTATGATTTATATATATCTAAAATGAAAACATGTTTAAAAAGTTAAAATCACTCTGTGAGTCAAGGTTGAATTTTATATACTTCTGTTTGGTTGTATATTTATTAGCTGCAACTGTTTTATTTTGTCCTTGAACTCCCGGATACTCCTGAAGGCAAAGGAAAAGATAACCTGCCTGCTGAAGACTGTCTAGATCTTTCTAGGTTAAAACAGCTTCTGTAAGTTTATCCCCTAGTATGTAAATATTATAGTAACTGGTTGGTTGGCTGAGAGATAATTATCGGTATTAATTTTCTTCTTTCCGATGGCGGCATCTTCTCATTCTCCCTATTTTAAAGGGTACTTATGAATCTTATAGCATGGACTCTACATGCTATTCTTTGTCTTTACTTTCCTATGTAGTGTGACTTATTTGATCATATTCCTGATGTTGAGATGCATGGTTTTCAGTGGGTTAAGTGTAAACCCTGTATACCTTGTTAAACGCATGGTCTCTGTCACAACATCTGTGAGCTTCTTAACATCTGTAGTCTCATTGTCCTGAGTCTAATACTTTTTTTCTGGTCCAGTGCTTCAGATGTTAACATTTCTATTTACCTCACAGAAGTATGCAGACGCTTCTGATTTCCCTATAATGCAGATACAAGCCATAAGCAATTTAGAAAGCAGTTAAGGGCTGTCTACATTGACACATCATTTTCAGTCAATTTTTACACTACCTAGAGAGCACTATTTTTCTAGCACTGTGAAAATCATGAAGGACTTTTTAAGTAACTGTCATCATTCCTACACCATTTCCTGAGAAACTAGGAGCAAGTATACTCTCTATTTGGAGTATCCCCAGACTATGTAGTTTTATTTGAACTTTGTTCTTAGTAGGCCCCCTTGGGTTTTTAACTTGAGAGGGAAACCCACACTCTTATGTCTGACCTCTTGCTCAGGCATAGACTTCCCCTTTATATGTTTTGGTTCTATTGGATGGGATGACTTTTCTGTCTTCTTCTATATTACAAGCCACCCTATATCCTCATTTGTCTCAGACAGTCCTCACACCTGTTTCCACAGGATAATTTTTAATGGCTTCCACTTCATCCTAAAAAAAACAAAAAATAAAAATAAAATCCCTATTTAGAAAATACTTACTAATGGAAAAATTCTAAAGAGCTTATTTCTTGATATCTAAAATGGAATAGTTTGGATTTAGAAATAGCATTCCTCTCAACCACATCTGCTGTTCAAAATAGTAGATTCTGTACAATTTGAGAAAGTCAAGATTTAAATTGGAAATCCTGTTGCTGCCACTGTAGATTTCAGTATGGACATTACTGAAAATGGACATTCAGTGCTCTTTTAGAATTGTCTTATACATGTCAGTGGAAATTGACCACAGCAGTCACCATCCTCAAGTTAAGTTCTGCATGGTACATGATTCCTCACATCAGTACATGTTTTTCAAAATCCAAAATGACTACACAAGATTGATGGTGCCTAAGTGCTATCTCCTTGGCACTTGAGGGAGATTCATTATTATCTGTGTGCTAGTTAGGGATAGGCTGTGTAAACGTCTGATATCTATGGCAACAAGTGGAAGACTTGTAGTTTTAAATTCAGGTTACTAACTGGTGAGATGACTGTCATATCTCTCTGTACAACATTCTAATTGATATAATAATATATAATAATAATATAATAATTCTACAATAATAATAATTTATCCTCAGATCAATTAGTTGATTCTCCAAATTAGGGCAGAGAATGTAGTTGTAGTCCATCTCTCCATGTGTGTCTTTGGAGAACAAGCCAAGGTTACCATTTAAAGAACTGAACCTGGGGGCTGTGGCTGTGGCTTAGCAGTAGAGTGCTCACCTAGCACTCGAGGCCCTGGGTTCGGTCCACACAACACATAAAAATAAACAAATGAAATAAACGTTTTAAAAAAAGAACTGAACCTGTCTGGATACCTCTCATACAAAGAACAATTTATTACCAACCAATTTTTTTTTCTGTTGGAGCATACTTATCAGGTGTGGGTGTACAGCCATAGGAACCTACAGTGTGTCATGATGTCACAGAATGAATTTATTAAAAATATTTGTAAAATGAAAAGAAAAAAGAACCTCAAGAAAACAATGGGATTTGGCAAGAGATAAAGGAACTATGGTAGACAGAGCTAGGTGGATCTCCATTCAAATTTGGTTTGGATATTAGGGCTAATAGTACCGTCCACACAGCAAGGGAGTGAAAAATTTTAATACTTTCATAATTGAGTTGTCTCAGAGAGCAGCATATGCCCCTAAGCATTTCTGAAATGTATGAGTAAGATCAGGGAAAGGAGACTGGCTTATGTTTTATTATGATTGGGATTTAGGGCAAGGTGAGCATTTTTATTTGGAGGGAGGGGCTTGCATAATTTAAATTTCCTGCCAATGCCAAGGAAATTGCAACTAGGGGTTCTCATCAGCTTGCCCTGATGTGGGACATGAGGGAAAGAAAATTGAGTGAGATTCTTCTTTTTTTAGGACCCTAATGTTGTTACAATTTAAGCAACAATATAAATTATGTAGTATTGGATTATTACTCAAAGCATAAAATAAATATCTCTAATTCTACAATGGTATAAATAAATCATTGAATAAATAAGCAGTAGGAGAATAGATAAATCTCCCATACAGGAGAATATTACATAATATACGTAGATAATCCTTCCCTGAAGGAGATGGATCTGGACAACTTATCTATGAAGTACTGGCTGTACTTCACTACTTGCTTTCAAAAGTACAATAGATATAAGGGGAAAAGTAACTTTAGATGGAGAAACCTGGTAAACCACCTTAGCTGGGTGATCAAGGTTAACATAATAAGTTTTAAGTCATGTTGGCAGCATATACCTGTGATATGTTGTGCTTATAATGGCATTTCACCTCTGTTGTCTTCTTTGCCAAATCCTATAAGTATAGCTTAACTATGGGGTAAACATCAGACTACCCAAATTTAAGGCCATTCTGTAAAATATTACTTGATTAGTATTTATAAGTATTCAAGGCCCTGGGCTGATGTTGTGGCGCAGTGGTAGAGCGCTTGCCTAGCGTGTGTGAGGCATTGGGTTTGATTCCCAACACTGTATATATATAAATATATTAAAATAAAGTTTCATCTACAACTAATATATGTATGTATATTTTTTAAATAAAAAATATATTTAAGGTCATTAAAATCAGGGAATGTCTAAAGAACCACGCTGATCCAGAGAAAGCTAGAGAGATGTAAAAAGTGAATGTAATGTAGTGTTATGTGTCGGCCCCTAGAACATAAAAATTAACAAAATCCAACAGAAAGAGACTTCAGCAGACATTAATACTGGTTTATTGTTTGTGATAAATGTACCATCTTAATGCATATTAACAGGAGAAATAGGCTGTAGGCATACAGTAACTCTTGGTCGTATATTAGCAACTATTCTGGAAATCCTATGCTATTTAAATAAGAAATTTATTTTTAAAATTTATAATCCATCTGATCTGTAAGAATTGATATTAATCTGTTACTTTTTTTTAATCACAGGCATTTCGTTAACACTAATCTATTGATTATAAATTATCTGCAATTTTTATTAATAAAGAAATATTGCTATTCAGTGATAGTAGAAAAATGTATTTCTGTGTATAATTAAACAGATGGTATTTTGTGTTTGCATAATCATGTACAATGAGGGATGATATAGCTTTTTAAGGCTGATTTTAAATTTAAATCTATTGTTTAGGCAAATGATATGCTACCCAGCTAACAAATGTTCTTAATTATAAGACATATTTAATAAAATGGAGTATCTGTGGGTGGAAATGAACTAAGAGGTTTAGGTGCATAAACAGTCTTTTCATATTTTACTTTTCCAAATAATACTTAACCTCACAGTTTATAGATAGAAGATAAGTTATCATGAAGAAATATAAACCGAGGACAAACCTCTCTCAAAGTAGAGAGCTGAATTATGATAAAACTGTGTTGTAAAATAAATGTTTCAGTTTCTTATCCATGATAATTAATAATTGCCTGCAGAATTCAATATTGACTAAAAATTATTTTCCTTTTGTTAAAGTTCATGTTTGACATTTAAAATTATAGGCTTTTATTCAAGAGAAATAATATTTTTGATATTTTTCAATCATTTTATTTTACTTAGCCATTTAAAGTCATTTAGTACATAACCCTATATATTTGACTTTTTTTCTTTTTAGATTTCTGGACTTCAAGCAACACTGAAGAACATAGATGTAGGACATAATTTTCATATTCCTGAAATTAAAGGTAAAAGTAAAATATAATTCTAGCTTAATATTGGGGATGATTTCTTAATCTTATCAGAGATCAGCATTCTAGAGATATTTAAAAGTGAGTAAGTGGAGAGATAATTATTTCACAAAGCAAAATTTTAATTAAACAATTAAGGAAATGCAGATATGATAATATATAGATATATTTTTGAGAACTATGTGAGTCAGCCATCTTGGAAGAACTTCTGTTCTGATCATGATGGAGTACCAGGTACCAGACTAGTTTTGTCTTCATAAATAACTCCAAAAGTAAGCTATAGATGAGGCAACTATTAGCATCTGAAAAACAGACATCTCAGATTGCAGAAGGAAATGATCTACCTTCAATCATGACTCCATGCTTGAGGAAATTTCCAAGCCAAGCTTCTTGGAAATGGATGCCAAAAAGAAAACTGAAAAGGCAGATAACATTGTTCATAACTTTAGAATCTGTAGGAAAGTGAAGAGGGAACTCAAAAGAGTGGTCTCAATAACTATAAGTCTGTAGCTGATGGTTGGGCTGCATGTATATAACAAGAGTACTTGAGACTTAACAGAGGGATAAAAGTCTACAGGACTAAGAACAGACTAGAAATTCTGTAGGCCAGGCAGTGATGATAGACATTTCCAATTCCAACTATCCCTAGTTGGGGAGAACTCTTTCACACATTATTATAATACATTAATATTCAGTATCCTACACTGATGCTATAAAAGCAGAAACAAAGCTTACACATGAGTTTTAGAAGAGACAGAGTTTAAGTTTTGCTAAGTAAGAAGACCCGGGTACCTTAGGACTTTACATAAAACTACCCAAATAAAGGACAAAATTAAGCCAAGAATATCAGAATATCAAAACAATCAAACAAAAACAGAACTGCCTTATTGAACAAAAACTGTTAGGAATTCAATTCCTAAATGACTAAAATTGTAAAAAAGAATATACATGGTGTCTTGAAGATTGAAGAACTTTGCATATTGGGTTTATTGTTGTAATCATTGATCTCTAATGATTCATTCATTCTTTTTCTAATAGTTTATAATTATATATAGTTATCCTTGACATTTTCATCAAAATATAGTAGTGGTTTCAGATAGCTCCTATATGATATTAGCTCTTTGTATTTAATTCAGTGTATAAAAGAACATATTGCATGTTCTTCTAGAATGATAATTTACAAATTACTTTGAAGATCAAGTTTGCAATTGTGTTTTGATCTGTGCTAATTTGAAATGACTTGGTAGAAAGGAATGAATTCTTACGCAACATGAAGAAATAGTTTTTTTTTTAGTTGCATATCCCAATTATCTGAACAAAATAAATACTTTAAAATCTTTATTGAATAAATTTTTGCACTTTATAAACATACTCTCTAGTTTTAGATACTATAGTTGCAGTACCTTTTCCTAAGGTTCTGATCTCAGCATTTGATTGTGTGATCTCAAGATTCTTTCAGTGCTCCAGTTGCCTGAACTTGGGATATTACTTACCAAGGGGATTTATTTTTTTAAAAAGTTGGATTAATGATGGCTCTTCATAAATCTTGCCATCTTCCACATTTTTTTTTGAGATGATAGGGATTAAAACCAGGACCTCAACTAAAGAAATTTTCTATTACTAACTACACCTTCAGCCCCACAACTATTAAATATATTATTAACTTATTTATCATGATTTTCATATTTTATTCCTTCTCTCTTCACTTGTTCATTTAAGTTTAATTTTTCTCCTCCCCCCTCCTCCTCCTATCCTCTTCCTCTTCTTCTATCCCTCCTCCTGCTCATCCTCCTCCCTCTGTCATCCACTCATTTATTCATTTATTCATCAATTTATTTATTTGGGGAATAAATTTGTATGGCAGTTGACATTCTTCAAATCATATGTGTACACTCTGAGGTTAGAGGACAACAAATTGTCTTTTTCTCTGAACTTTAGCAAGAAGAGAAATTATTGTTATTTAATTAAAATGTGGGAAATAAGATAAAAAGTAGATTGATTTGGAGCAGAGTTATCAAAGAATTTTCAATGTACTTTGTTTTTGGTCCATAAAGTGCCATATTGATTATAGAAATTTTAGACAATGTTATATTTTTGTAAAAGCCACACATAATTATTACCACACAGAATTTTGTTACTTTAATACCTACCCTTCACACATGAAAAGGGTTTTTAGTTTTGCATTTCTCTTGTATGGTAGATAGATTAATAAAAAATTCCTAGGTGACATTATAAAGTAATAAATTATTATTGATTAGATACTTAAACTGACAATTATGGATTATGTTTACTTTTATTGTTAGGTAACATATATCAAATATTTCTCAGGAACTTCCCAGAAAACACTTATTATTACATAATATGAGATAAGACTGAAGTTTTGTGAATTATGCATTTTTTAAAAAGTTTATGCTGGTTTTGATTATTATGCTTGTTATTTATAATAATTTAGTTTGCTATAGGTTGGTATTTGAATGTAATAATGCTTATTTCCAAAGCAGAATATGATATGTATAATGATATCTTTTTTAATATTTATTTTTTAGTTGTAGTTGGACACAATATCTTTATTTTACTTATTTATTTTTACGTGGTGCTGAGGCTCGAACCCAGGACCTCACATGCACTAGGCAAGTGCTATACCACTAAGCCACAACCCCAGCCCTAATGGTATCTTAATATATCATAATTTCTCATAGAAAATTATGAATTAAGAATGAATGACTAACTGGAAATTGGACATTTTTGGTAAAGTGAAAAGTTGTGAACGTTGACATCAGGGTTTTACAAATGAAATAAATATTCTTTGTAGTTAAGCAAAGTACCCTTAATATAGTACTCCTATACATTTATATTATTATTATTTTTTATTAGTTGCTCAAGACAATACAATGGTCTTGTCATATCATACATTTGAATCCAATAGGGTATGAATTCTCATTTTTTGACGTGTACAGATTGCAGGATCACATTGGTTATACATCCATGTGTATAAATACAGCAATCCTAGTGTCAGTTGTATTCTGCTGCCCTCCCTATCCTTCCCTCCCCTCCCCTCCCGTCACCTCTCTCTATTCATTCTACTGTGACATTTATCTCTCTCTCTCATTTTCTTCCCTTCCCCCTCACACCATCATACATGTATTTTGTGAAACCATGAGCGTCTCCTTCCATCTTCCATGCAATTCCCCTTCTCCCTCCCATTCCCTCCCACCTCTTTTCCTTGTTTCGTTGTAATCTTCTTCTCATGCTCTTCCTCCCTACTCTGTTTTGAGTCACCTCCCTTATATCAGAGAAGACATTCGGCATTTGTTTTTTAGGGATTGGCTAACTTCACTTAGCATAATCTGCTCTAGTGCCACCCATTTCCCTGCAAATGCCATGATTTTGTTATATTTTAGTGCTGAGTAATATTCCATTGTGTATAAATGCCACATTTTTTTAATCCATTCATCTGTTGAAGGGCACCTAGGTTGGTTCCACAATCTAGTTATTGTGAATTGTGTTGCTATGAACATTGATGTAGCTGTGTCCTTGTAGTATGCTCTTTTTAGGTCTTTGGGGGTATAGTCTGAGAAGGGGAATAGCTGGGTCAAATGGGGGTTCCATTCCCAGCTTTCCAAGGAATCTCCATACTGCCCTCCAAATTGGCTGCACCAATTTGCAGTCCCACCAGCAATGTACAAGTGTACCTTTTTCCCCACATCCTCACCAGCACTTGTTATTGTTTGACTTCCTAATGGCTGCCATTCTTATGAGATGGTACTTTAGAGTGGTTTTAATTTGCATTTCTCTGTTTGCTAGAGATGGTGAGCATTTTTTCATGTACTTGTTGATTGATTGTATATCTCCTCTGTCTGTTTAGATCTTTGGCCCATTTGTTGATTGGGTTATTTGTTTTTTTGTTGTTTAACTTTTTGAGTTCTTTGTATACTCTGGAGATTAGTGCTCTATCTGAAGTGTGAGGGGTAAAAATTTGTTCCCAGGATGTAGGCTCCCTATTTACCTCTCTTATTATTTCTCTTGCTGAGAAAAATTTTTTTTTAGTTTGAATATGTTCCATTTGTTGATTCTTGATTTCAACTCTTGTGCTATAGGTGTCCTATTAAGGAATTTGGAGACCGACCCCACGAGATGGAGATTAGGGCCAACTTTTCTTCTGTTGGATGCAGAGTCTCTGGTTTGATTCCTAGCTCCTTGATCCATTTTGAGTTAACTTTTGTGCATGGTGAGAGAAAGGGATTCAATTTCATTTTGTTGCATATGAATTTCCAGTTCTTCCAGCACCATTTGTTGAAGATGCTATCCTTTCTCCATTGCATGCTTTTAGCACCTTTGTCTAATATAAGGTAGTTGGAATTTTGTGGGTTGGCCTCTGTGTCCTCTATTCTATACCATTGGTCTACCCACCTGTTTTGGTACCAGTACCATGCTGTTTTTGTTACTATTGCTCTGTAGTATAGTTTAAAATCTGGTATCGCTATACCACCTGTTTCACTCTTCCTGCTTAGAATTGCTATTCTGCGTCTTTTATTTCTCCAAGTGAATTTCATGATTGCTTTTTCTATTTCTGCAAGGAATGCCATTGAGATTTTGATTGGCATTGCATTAAACCTATAGAGTACTTATGGTAATATGGCCATTTTAATGATATTAATTCTGCCTATCCATGAAAAAGGTATATCTTTCTGTCTTCTAAGGTCTTCTTCTATTTCTTTCTTTAGGGTTCTGTAGTTTTTGTTGTAAAGGTATTTCACCTCTTTTGTTATTCCCAAGTATTTTATTTTTTTTGAGGATATTGTGAATGGGGTGGTTGTCCTGATTTACTTTTCAGAGGGTTTGTCACTGATATACAGGAATGCCTTAGACTTATGAGTGTTGATTTTATATCCCGCCACTTTGCTGAATTCATTTACTAGTTCTAGAAGTTTTTTGGTAGAACCTTTTGGGTCCGTTAGGTATAGGATCATGTCATCTGCAAATAGTGCTAATTTCAGTTCTTCTTTTCCTATTTTTATGCTTTTAATTTCTATCGTCTGTTTTATTGCTCTGGCCAGTGTTTCGGGAACTATGTTGAATAGGAGTGGTGAGAGAAGGCATCCCTCCCTGTCTTGTTCCAGATTTTTAGAGAGAATGCCTTCAGTTTTTTTCCATTTAGAATGATGCTAGCCTGAGGCTTAGCATGTGATCTGCCCAGATTGAATCAAGAGGATATACACAACGTAAACAGACCAATATCAATTGAGGAAATAGAAGAAGCCATCAAAAGACTACCAACCAAGAAAAGCCCAGGACCGGATGGGTATACAGCAGAGTTTTACAAAACCTTTAAAGAAGAACTAATATCAATACTTTTCAAGCTTTTTCACGAAGTAGAAAAAAAGGGAGTAATTCCAAATTTATTCTATGAGGCCAACATCACCCTGATTCCTAAACCAGATAAAGACACTTGAAAGAAAGAAAACTATAGACCAATATCTCTAATGAACATAGATGCAAAAATCCTCAATAAAATTCTGGTAAAGCGGATAAAAAAACATATTAAAAAGATCATGCACCATGATCAAATAGGATTCATCCCTGGTATGCAAGGCTGGTTCAATATAAGGAAATCAATAAATGTAATCCACCACATCAATAGTACTGCTATATTAAGAGAACATAGTACTCCTTTTTATACTCCACATATAGTACAGCACAGAACTCTTTATTTCACAAAGTTAAATTAACTGCTGCTTTTTAACTTTAATGTTTTGTTGCTCTTGGAATTGCACGTGGACTATGTGGTTTAATTTAGAGATCCTATCTTTTCAAATATTTTCCCCTTTAACTCTTGACTTTTTCTGAATTCTAATTAGGTATATGCCTGGTTTCTGCATTTCACTTTACACCAGTCCTAATCTCTTAGATATTTTCTATTTATTCTTCTGGGTTAAATTATGAGTTATTTTTTCAAAAGCTTTTTACAGTTGAATATTTCTCTTTATATTTGTGTTTGGTCTATAAAGGAGTCAGGGATTTACAAAGGTAGGTGCTTCATAAATATTTGTTAAGTGAATTTTTCAATAGTTTTCTGATATTTATTCAGGGTCCTCAGCAGGTTCAAAGAACGTTGTTTCAGTGTGTACATAAATAAAGGAATGATTGAATGGGTGAAGTTTCATACTGGAGTACAACAAATAAAATTTCTGTGCTTATTTATTTGGAGTATGTTTTTATCTCTAAGGAATTATATATTTCTTAAAATGTTGATAATATCTGCATAAAAATTATTTTATCTACATAAAATTACGCTGCACTAGTCAGTACATTTGGCCTTGTCATTAGGAATTATAAAATGATAGGAAAAAAGATGCTATGATGAAGACATGGAGTTTGCTTGGATAGAACTAAACATTAAGAAGTATTGTGTGGCATTTGAGAATTATATTACTTAAACATGAATATGGCACAAACTTTAATGTCTGAGCCTCTCATTTGTTGTAAAAATGTTTATATAAATAAATAATATTTATTTGATGGGAAATAGAGATCATGTTCATTCTTTCTACAGTTGGAAATAATTGAGAACATTATCTCTCTTCTGGTATAGTGTACTTTCTGCAATGTTTGTTCTCAAGTTTTGTTTGAAGTGTTAAATATTTTTATGAAATTTTATTAGAATATACATTTTTCTAATTCTGTTTTGCTTGTGGAATAACAACATACATTCATAGGCCAAGCCCTTTTGGATTTTATACTTTCATGTGTTATCCTGATCAAATTTGTTTTTTTCTTGTTTTTTAATTTTCTTTTATGAAGTGATTCTTAGTAATGTCTTGTATACTACATGAAATTTTCTCAGATTCATACAAGTATCTGTTTGAATCCTGAGTTTCTCTTTTACTACTTTCTCCTTTCTTTCTTGTGTTTATTACTATATGAATTTCCCTTCAGGTATATAAAGGGAACAAAAGACAGTGACCTGCAGAGGAATATTGACACAATTGCATGACATAATGTTTAGAACAGTGGCTATTACATAGTAAAAGATCAATTAAGCATGAATGTTAATTATATTTTTAATTATTATCAGTTGAAAAATTGGTCTTTAAGGAGGCAACTATAATAAAAGAGAATTAGAAGTGAAATTTTTCTCTTTATCTCAGCAAGCTGTAATTGCAGCCTTTATCTGAGACTTTGACTTCCAAGATACTGTGGAACTGTAACTTGTAGCAACATTGCCAAAGGACAGACAGTCTGGATACTCAAGACTTTCTAATTCTGTTGTGTAATGCTGGTTCATGGAACATTGTTTTTCTGTTATTGTGGAGGTAATTTGGAGGATCTTCTGCTTTATCTAAAGCTGGTACTAATAGGAAAAGTTATATCCAGAAAAAAATAAATGCCAGTTGTGTGCTCCCTTGCTTTTATAACCTCAAGATCTGTTAAAAGGGCCTAGACATTGAAATCATCCATGCATTTTTGTGTATGCAATCTTTTCTGTATTATGTATCTAGCATTGTAATTTTTTTTGACACCAATGATATTGAACCCAGGTATGTTTAATCACTGAGCAACATACCTAGCCCATTTTTTTTAATTTTAAAATGATCTCACTAAGTTGTTTAAGGACTTGCTAAATTGCCAACTCTGGCTTTGAACTTGTTATTCTCCTGCCTCAGCCTCCCAGGTTGCTGGGATTAGAGGCATGCATCAATGTGCCCAGCTAGTGTTGTGATTTATGACATTGAGTAATTTCTTTTATTTATGTGCTAATGAATAAGACCTTATTAGTTATTTGAAATCAAGTTTTTATTTATAAATATAGGTATAAATTATGTGTACCTAAATATGAATAGGGAAAGATATGAAAGAAAAGACTTTTCCCATCACAATCCCCCCGACACACACACTTGTTTCTGTAAGATTGCTGAAGTCCTGGATAGTTAGGTAATCAGAGTTACAACTAGATGTGAATAGTACCTTGTGTTTTTTTCTTGTCTGTTTCTCTCAACATCAAGAATCATAGATAATAAAATTTTATTATTATGAAATTCTCCTTTTAAAAGTCTTGTATTTATTATATAATTCCACTTGGAAAATTTTATTTCTTTTTCTATGCCTTGGCCTTTTCCCACTTTATTTATAAATACACAAAACCTCTAATGCCACCCTGCATTTTTGGGACCTGAATTTTGAAGACCCCACTTAAAGTATTTTGGTTGGTGTGACTGTAATTTGTTTAATACTTAATAAATATATGTATTAATAAGACTATGATTAACATTTGAAAATTATTGTATTTTTAAAAAAAATAATTGCAAAAATTAAGATTAAATTTTATTATCTTGTAGTTGGTCACAGTATTGAAAAAGAAAATGTGCCAGAAGGTCCTACTCAGAAAGGTCTTCGTAAAGCCAGGGAACAAAACAAATGTAAAACAAAGATGAAAGACAATGCAAAGGTATGATATTTATTCATGTTTATACATTAACTTATTCTCACATATTTAGATCCATGCACTCATATAGCATCATTTTTTTAACTAGAAAAGAAACTTAGTGTTTATATATAATAATCCTCTGAGTTTATGGAGGGAAAATTGAAGTCCACAATATTACTAGTAACTAGTTAATTTGGAGACACATGCTTTATTAGTGTTTAAGACACCTCAAAGCATCTCTGTGCCACACTCAATTTTCTGCTTAAAATTAATCCTATATACAAGAAATAACTCCCAAAACATCTCTTATAATTTCTCTTTTTTTATAGTAGAATTTCTAACTTTTCTCAGTTTTCTTTTCCTTTAGAATAACATGCAACAGAATCATGCCTCATTTAAGAATTTGTTTGTATCTGTAGTATTTTTGCTTTGCAATTAGACCAATAATTTAAATCTTGCATAATAATGAAATTAAAATTATCTGGTCAATGAAATGAAATTTAAGAAGAAAGAAAATTACATAAGAAGTACAAGGGGTTTAGTTTCTTGTTATGAAAATTCTAGCTGAGATAATGAATTTTCTTATAAAGATGATTGTTGCCAGAGAGTTCTACATCTGGCATTTGTTGTAAAATGGAAATATTTATAATTCTAATGTTAGTAGTAGTAATTCAAGAAGAGATTTTTATAAACTCAAATTATAGCATTTACTTAGATAATATCAATAACTTTCCCTTGAAGGTTTACACTAGAATCAATTATTGTATAAATATTCAAATAAAATAAACAAACAGTTATAGGTTATACTAAGTTCTTGACAAAATAATCTTTGGATGATATTCAAATTACTGTTTTACTCTTTATCTATCTTCACTATTAATTCATGGATTGTGGTATTAGAGATAGAGGCAAATAAGAGTTAAGAATTTTTGATGATGTTGTGATTGTCATCAAGAATGTTTCATCTTCTCTTGGTATAAGTATTCTTTCAGGTAGTGCATCATGCTTAGAAATGATGTGTTGATTTATTCATTAACTGCTTATGGCTTACAAAACCATGTTAGTAAATGCAAGGTTGATTTTTTTTCAAGGTTGATTTTTTAATGTGATGAAAACTATGATAATATAGTAGGCACATTATACATTTATGCATAGTATTTCCTTTTTTGTTATTGAATTAAAATATTTAATGTAATACCTAAAGTTCAATAAAAGAAAATGAGGCCTTAATTAAGAGCCTAGGTATAGGATAAAGTGAAACCTTCTCATCCTCACGGAATAATCATTTTTATTAATGTTTTTCTTATAATTTTCTTGCAGCTGTTATTATAATGTACCTGATTTCAGTGTCCAGTTTATAGTTTTATTCACTTTAGATGCTATTTATTGACTACCTTGTGGAAATAAAGAGACAGTTAGGTCACTTTACTGATTTGAGTTATATTAGTATATATAGTACCATCATAATTCTATTTTCTATGCTTTATCTGTAAATTAGTAGTATAAATTAATTGCACAAATCATTTAAATGCATTTTCTTTAAGTAAATATAATTTACTGTAGAATTAACTATCATGATTAAAACCACAGAGAAGGAAATGGAATATCCAAATTACATGAGCACAGAGACTGCTTTTTTAAATGTAGCCACTTCCCTAGCTTACATTCAGTGGTCCTTGTTACTTATTTCTCACTTTGTCCTCTCTCATTATTTCTTTTCTTATAGTATAACTTTTCACTTTCCTTAGTCTTTCAAAGAAATAAAGAAAGTCCCTTTCTGATGAACACTGTCAGCCTGTTCATACTCTCCTACCAGCTCCTTTAAGGAATTTTTTTCCTTTAGTAGTACTTCCTGGTGGGTCACCTCTGTTTATTCCCACTAGTGATATATCTTCCTATATATATATATTTCCTTACTTGTCTTTTGTTCCCGTCAGGCCACCCTTTGTGATATTTTAAAATGAACTTCTGACCAATATTTCTCCTGCTATTGTATTCTAGTATCTGCATTTATGGTTAGAAGAGAAGTAGTTTTCCATTTGAGTAAGCTTTTTCCCTTGATGTCATAGAATGCAAATTAGGCACTGATGGATACTGTGCTTTCCAGATACAAAGAACAAACATCAGTGGGATTTCTTATTAGAGGCTTACACTGGGTTTGGACTATGGCTCTCATCCCCAAGCCTTGGAGGAATATCACTCACATGAGAGATTTCTCTTACACTCACCTCATAAGCAAAGACATCCACAGACTAAGGTGGAAGGATGGCAAGGAAACATCACTCTCATGGATCGCTTAAGCAAGAGAGGGGTTTGTATCCTTGTATCAGATAAAGTGGACTTCAAGCCAAAGTGAATCAGAAGGGACAAAGTAGTACATTTCATACTGCTTAAGGGAATTATACAACAATAAGCCATAACAATTGTAAATATTGATGCCCTAAACAATGGGACATCTACATATATCAAAGAGACCCTACTCAATTTCAACAGATAGACCACAACATAATAATACTGAATGACTTTAACATTCCTCTCTTACTATGAATAGATTGTCCAAACAAAAACTAAACAAACTATAGAACTAAATAATACAATTGATAATTTATAATTAACAGACATACATAGAATATTTCTTCCATCAGTGATTGAATACCCTTTCTTCTCAGCAGCACTTGGATTCTTCTCTAAAATAGACCATATTTTATGCCACATAGCAACTCTTAGGAAATATGAAAAAAATAGTGATACCACCCCGCATTCTATCAGATCATAATAGAATGAAATTAGAAATCAATGATAAAATAAAAAATAGAAGCTACTTTAACACCTGGAGACTAAATAATATGCTATTGAATGACAAATAGATAGCAGAGGAAGTCAAGGATGAAATAAAAAAAATACTTAGAGGTAAATGAGAATAGTGATACAACATACAAAAATCTCTGGGACACTATGAATGCAGTGCTAAGAGGAAAGTTCATTGCATTGTTTGTTCACTCAAAGAATAGAAAGATAATGAATAAATGACCTAATATTAAATCTCAAAGTCCTAGAAAAAGAAGAGCAAATCAACACCATCAGCAGAAGACAGGAAATAATTAAAATCAGAGGTGAAATTAACACAAAAGAAACAACTCAGGGCTAGGGATGTGGCTCAAGCGGTAACGCACTTGCCTAGCATGCTCAGGGCGCTGGGTTCCATCCTCAGCACCACATAAAATAAAATAAAGATGTTGTGTCCACCGAAAACTGAAAAATAAATATTAAAAAATCCCCCCCCCTCTCTCTCTCTCTCCTTTTTTTTTTTTAAAAAGAAACAACTCAAAAAATTGACAAAATAAAGAGTTGGTTCTTTGAGAAAATAAAGTTGATAAACCCTTAGCCATGCTAATGAAGAGAGAGAGAAAAAACTAATTACTAAAATTAGTGACAAAAAGGAAATAACATGACAGACACAATTGAAATGCAGAAGATAATCAGAAACTATTTTGAAAATTTGTACTTCAATAAAATAGAAAATTTTGAAGCCATCCACAGATTTCTAGAAACATATGACCTACCTAAACTGAATCAGGAGGACATGCACAATTTAATCAGATCAATTTCAAACAATTAAATAGAATACACCATCAAAAACTACTAATTAAGAAAAGCCCAGGAGCTGGTGAATTCTTAGCTGAATTCTACAAGACCTTCAAAAGAGAATTAATACTAATATATCTTAAGTTATTCCACAAATAGAAAAAGAGAGAACCCTTGCAAACTCATTCTGTGAAACTAGTATCACTCTGATGCCCCAAACAAAGACACATCAAGAAAACATAACTAAAGAGCAATATTCCTGATGAACATAGATGCAAAAATCTTTAATATAATACTGGCTAATTGCATGAAAAAACATATTAAAAAGTGTACCATGATCAAGTTGGTTTCTTCCCAGGGATGCAAAATTGGGTTAATATATACAAATCAATACACTTAATTCATCACATCAGTAGATTTAAAGACAAGAATCATATGATTATCTCAATAGATACATTAAAAAGTACTTGACAAAATACAGTGTCTCTTCATGTTCAAAACACTAGAAAAACTAGAGATAATAGTAACATACCTTAACATTGTAACCACAGCTATATATGTAAACCCAAAGCCAACATCATTCTAAATGGAAAAAAGAAGTGAAAGCATTCCCTCTAAGAACTGGAATTAGATAAGGATGCCCTCTTTCATCACTTTTATACAAAATTGTCCTTGAAACTCTAGCCAGAACAATTTGACAGAAGAAGAAAATTAAAGGGATATGAATAGGAAAATAAGAACTCAAAACTATCACTATTTACCAATGATCTCATTCTATTATATTTATAAGATTCAAACAATTCCACCACAAAACTTCTAGAATGAATAAATGAATTCGACAAAGTAGCAGGATTTAAAAATTAATTCCCATAAAACAAATGTGTTCCTATACATCAGTGATGAATCCACTGAAAGAGAAATTAGAAAATTAAAAATATATATATTTGGGAGTCCATCTAACAAAAGAGGCAAAAGACCTCTACAATAAAAACTACAGAACACTAAAGAAAGAAACAGAAAAAGACCTTTGAAGATGGAAAGATCTCCCATGCTCTTGGATAGGCAGAATTAACATCGTCAAAAAGCCATGCTACCACAAACTTTATACATATTTAATGCCATCCCTATTAAAATCCCAATGGCATTCTTCATAGAAAAAGCAACCATGAAATTTATTTGGAAAAATAAGACACAGAGAATAGCCAAAGTAATCCTTAGTGAGAAAAGTGAAGGTGACATCACTATACCAGGCCTTATACTACAGAGCCATAGTAACACAACACATATAGACCAATGGTACAGAATAGAAGACATAGAGACAAACCCACATAAATACAGTTATCTTATACTTGACAAAGGTGCCAAAAACATATATTGGAGAAAAGATAGCCTCTTCAACAAATGGTATCGTGAAAACTGGGAATCCATGTAGCAAA